TAGTGGTAAGGAGCAGAGCAGCTTTCCCCAGACCATTCCATGAAGATGCAGCTTTTCCAGGTGAGTTGGTGAGAAGCCTTGCCCAGCGTAGAGGCCAGGGTGAAATCATGTTGTTACCATTGCACTTGTTTACAAAAGGTTCTGCATCTGGCTGAGAACATTCTGCACAGATTTCTGTTCCTAATATTCAGTTCACCTTCTGCAGTTGCATCTGCGCTGTCGCAATCGGTTGCTGCCTAATGGCAGACTCTAAATTGAGAGTCATTTATTTGTGCAACCAGCCAAGCTCTGTTCTGCAACTTGAAAAAACTTGTTTTATTTCTCATCTTGAAGAACAGAGGGCAGAGCACAGGACAGGGAGACACAAATCTTAGTGTTATACGTAGTGACCAGTTTACTTCACCCTTCCCTGCATGTGTGGGCTTGGTCCTAACTTTCCCTCCTGTGCTATAGATAAGTGCAGCTATGTCAGAGTTCATCCTAAATTTGGAGTAGCAGTTGCAGGGGTTTGGTGTCACTGATGTATTTTGCTTTGCTCTTGAATGGTGTTTGCCTTTGGTATAAATCTTCTGGCTAACTTGTTCCCACTTGCTAATGCCGCTGTCTGCTGTTCCTTGCAGGTGGGTTTTTGTTGTCAAGAAAGGCTATCAGGACACAGACACGTCCATCCAGAGCTCTGTCATCACCAAGCTGAAAGGGGTCGCCTTCACCAACACCTCGGAGCTGGGGGAGAGGCTGTGGGATGTTGTGGACTACGTCATCCCTCCACAGGTTGGCATCACCCTGCTGTGCTCAGCTCTGCTCTGCAGCTGGAAAGCTGTTCCAGCCTGGTTGCCGTTGGCAGCGCTGAGGTGGCTTACGCAGACCTTTCCTGTGAATAAACAGAGATGGGCTAAAAGGGAGCAGTTCTGCACCTCCCTTAGGTCTTTGCAGCAGATGTCAAAGCAGCCTTGTCTCGCTCACAGAAGCTCTTGACACTGAGCAAGCAAAACCTTTCGGCTGAAGCCCCATGGATTTCAGTGGGATGTCCCATGGATTTGACTGGGACTGCTCGGCTGAACGAAGTTGCTGCTCACCTGCTTTGCTGGGCTGCAGCAAGCACAGGCAGGGCAGTCCAGAGGAGGAGCAGATGGAAATGAGATGTGGTGCAGTTTGAACGATGTGGGCTGATGTTTGCCCAAAGCTCCCTTGCTGCTTCCTTGCCTTGCTCGGTGAGATGCATGGCTGCTGCTCAAGGAGAAAAGATGCCAGCAGATGCAGCCTGGCTCTGCGGTGGGAGTTGCTCAGTTGCTCTTGCCATGGGCTGTTTGCAGGGTACTTTCCTTGCCAGTATCCATCACACGTGCATGGAAGTATGTGAGATTGACAGTGGGTAGAGAGCTATAAATTGAGCAGACTACTTCTCTGTGCATAAGACTTCATTCTCCTGCTGCTGCTGCCTGGATTTGCTCAGATCTGTGGATCTGTGCTCTGCATCTCCACCAGTTTTAACAGAAAGCCTCGCTGCAGACTCCAGAGCTTGGCGTGCAGCAGGAGCGCTGGGCAGTGTGCTCGAGGTGCCTGATGCGCCCTTGTTCAGGGTGCATGGGAGCCCTG